TTAATGACTTGGCGAGCTCCATTCTTTTTCAAAATAGGCCTTCAATGAGGCAGCCCTTCTCAGTTCGCCTGAAGGGTCTAGCTGAGGAAACTGGAGTCTCGCTTGAACACAGTTTAATGGCTCCTGTAGCATACCCGCCAACGTGGCAATGGCAGACTATAGACTGTGATGTGTCTTTTCTAGAAGTTACAAAGCATGCGCCTATTGCCCATATTCGAACATACTTCCTCGAACTTCAACACAAATACACACGTCCTGAGTTTTTTACAGATGCCTCCAAGTCTAACTCCTCTGTACCCTATGCTGCTGTCGGCCCATCCTTTTCGAATGCTGGCCCTCTACATCCACGCACAAGTATCTTCACAGCGGAAGCTTACGCGATACTGGTGGCAGCTAAACACATCAAACAATTACAAATACAAAAAGCAGTAATTTATACAGACTCCCTCAGTGTGGTAACGGCTCTGCACAGTCTTAAAAAACAAAAAAACCCAGTCCTTGTCTCACTTTACTCCATTTTGTGCACACTCTACACACACAAACAACATGTTGTAGTGTGCTGGGTTCCAGGGCACCGTGAGATCCAAGGCAACGTGAGGGCGGATCAGCTCGCTGCATCCGTCCATGAGAGCACCGCCATTACATCCATATCAATCCCGGCCCTTGATCTTAAGCCGTTTCTCAAACTAAACCTCAGGAACTACTGGCAGAGCAAGTGGGATACACACACACAAAACAAACTACACGTTATCAAGCCACACCTTGGCCATTGGCCACCAGTATCAAAATCACGTCTAACAGAGGTAACACTAACAAGACTCAGGATAGGGCACACATACACGACACACACACATCTTTTATCCGGTGGGGACCCACCATTGTGTGATAAATGTGGTGAGGCTTTAACAGTTCTTCACATTTTAATTGAGTGCAAAGAATTGGACACTGTAAGAAAACAACACTTTCCATTACCCTACCGACAACATATACCTTTACACCCTGCAATGTTCGTCGGTAGGGAACCGCTTTTTAGTCACAAATCATTGTTAGCGTTTTTTAAAGAAATTCATAGTTTTCACATCATACACCCGGGCATCCCGTAGCATGACCTCTCCAGAGAGGTTTTTGCTGCGGTGGTTACACAAGAAAGCACTTGCCTCACGGCCCTTGGACGCAAGGGTATGAACGAGTGAGGCACTTGTGCTAATGCCATAAATATCCACCATCGTCTTTTATTATCACCAACTTTTGTCATCTATTCACACCGCACACACCTTTGACGACATGGTCATGATTTTATTACTTGTATGTTTTTACCCGCCTTACCGCGAGGAATTTTATGGCCCTTATACAGCCGCCTATCGCAATCATTGTCCATGTTTTTAGTAAGATGAATTGGCGCTCTTTGGCCGTGAAATGGCCCTTGCGCCATAAAACATCAAACATCATCATCACCATTGGAGAACACATCGATTTTCCGCTCTTTGGAGCTCAGATACAAAAATTCATCTCGCCAGTCTGTACCTTTTAGTCCCCACGTTTCGGCCTCTATCAGTTTCAGCCGCGACTGAAGCGTCTTTTGCCTTAGCTCTTCAGTTTCATTTTCCTTCTTTCTCAGTTCTATTTCAAACTCCATTTCCTCCTCCCTCTCTTTTCGAATGCGCCTGTCGTGTTCCTCACACTAAGCCACCATTTCATCACCTTTTAAACCCATGTGTCTTGCCAACTTTTCTAGGTCTGCCCAACTGAGGTTCCTGTTCTAGTGTGGAAAGGTAATTGGTAAAATGGCCTTGTCCTGTCGTGGACGCCAATTGTCACGATTCTATTTATTGGGCAAGCTCTCGTGTAGGTTTGTGTAAAGCAAAAACCACCGATGACATAACCATCATTGAAAATTTTGTTGAAGTGCACTAAAAAACAGACGGACAGAAGAGGCTAACAAGGACAGCGCTTGCCTTTGTCAGCCTCTTCTGTCCGTCTGTTCTTTAGTGCGCTTCAACAAAAATTTCAATTATGAACGTCATTCAACAGGCCCAACTTGCCATTTGCTGCGACATAACCATCATCGAGAAATCAGCCGACGAGACCATTTGCTTGCACCGAATCCCTAAAACTGCATATATTTTAGAAACCCCTAAAAGATGGACAACAGAAGAAGAACACAGCATCCAAAACTAGAAAGAGGTTTACGAGAATAACGAATGACTAAAGACAAGAATAGTGCGCGGAAATAAATGTTCAGTTGAAAATAACCCTTGTCATATCATAGTGGGACGCGGTGCTTTGAGCGGAAGCTCTGCTATTAAGGCATGGACGCAATCACGCAAATGGTGACAGTGGTGATGCGGGGCTTGCAACTGATGCGACGACGTAACGATGATGACACACTCGTGCAGCAGGGGAAGACTTGCGAATAGGTTGAGACGCTCGCGTCATTGACTGGCACAGGGGGAAGCTTCGGGCTGGTAGAGGTCAGTGACCTTTCGGCGTTCGGCAACCGCAGCTCGCCCACGAAGCCAGAGACGTTTCTTGGCCAACGCCAGAAGACCAGAACAAGCCTGTCCCACGTCAGGCGACGAGAAGAAGCTCTGTGTTCAGGCGGGAGCCCACTGCGACCTTGATGCAGGAGCTCTGCTGGCCGCCACTACAATGCCCTGGCCACCTTCCTCACTCGGGCCCAACTCAGCCACGTCTGCCTGGCTTCGCGATTCTTCACCCGTGGCTCTCCTAAATCTCCGGGGAGGCACCTTATTGGCTTAAAATATTCACGCCCACACGTGCCGCAACTGAGCGTCATCTTCATCGTCCTCTTTGGTTCAGGCTCATGGCGTGGCGCACTTATCAAACTCGCACAATCGCGGCACCACTATGTAAAATATTATACAGCAATTCTTATTGCATACTCACCGACAACAGTAGAAAATACCTAAATAAGTAATTTGTTCAACGCATGCAGGCTACGTATTCCCCACTTGAGCATAAACATCCTTACGTGACCGCGATGCACTTGCCGTGTTTCGTGGAAGAGACACTGCTGGTAGACACTGAATGACCCAGGATACTTTGCCGTCATTTGGCGAATAACCTTCTTTAGAACTACGCAACTTGTCAACGCCTTTTGCTGCACACAAACGCCACACTTTAATCTCAAAATGAACTGCAGAAGGTGCAGCTTCCCGAAATTGTGAATTCTTTGGTTATTCAAGATGACATGAGAAGCCCCTCTGCCTCGGCATTTGAAAGCAGACGTCCCAGGATTTTGACGGCTGCAGGGGCGACCGCTGGAAAACCCGCAGTGTTTCCGAATGCTAAAGTCTTATAACAAAATCTTCTGGCAGAATCGGTTGCAATTGTCGCAAATATAAAACAAATCAGTCGATGCAATTATAGGGATGGCGTGCGCACTCTTCCTGCATATAAATTGTCGAATTTGATTGCAGTGGAGTCATATTTCTAATAATCAAACGACTTAATTAGAAAAAGCAACGGAAAAATTTGGCACTAAACGTGCCTTCAAAATCGACGTAATGCGAAGCATGAGGAGGGAAGATGACCATGTTGTAATTTTTTTCATTGAGTGGAACGTTGTGAAATGACGCTAAATATATGTACAAATGGTCACGCACAGACATATGTTGAACAGTTGCAGGTGTTTATGTAACCAGTTGTATGAAATTCCACAACGACGCCAACAGGAAGATGAGTTTTAGCAACAGCATAAGCGATAAGGTAATATGAAACGCTGGTGCTCCAGAGGATGGTAGGTAGCCCTGAATAGTGCTACATAATCAACTTCAGTGCATGACACCTAACTGCAATGGACGTTAACGCCCCATGATGGTTGTATCATAGTAGTATGTATGTAATGTATACTACAAAATTGGATAGCCCAACAATGCAACAACAATTGACGTTTCAAGAACACTAGAATCTGTTTGAAAAGTAGTCCTGAGACCTGGCGTACCTCTGTTGCAGAATACCTGATTTCTACGCAGAATACTAGAGTTTCATTCCGGCTGAGGCAATGACATTTACAACTCGCATTCGCTCGGCCGACGCCGCATATTTAGCCTTTTCTTAACGTTAAGCGTTAAAATTACCCCTGTGCGTCTTGCCATTCCTGGGTAGCTGTAAAATGTATATCACGTGTGGCACGTACCCTCATACTAGTGGCACATATCCGCCCCTTCCTATTTGCCACTGTTTTTTTTTGGAAATTGTTTGACGATGTACGCGACGAGATTATGATGCATGTCGTAACCAGCGCGTCGTTTTCAACAAACCATGCCACCCTCCCGTACTAATTTTGGTATACCGCACGTTAAGGGGGTGATCCCGAAAACACCCAGACATAGATAGATAGATATAGATAGATAGATAGATAGATAGATAGATATAGATAGATAGATAGATAGATAGATAGATAGATAGATAGATAGATAGATAGATAGATAGATAGATAGATAGATAGATAGATAGATAGATAGATAGATAGATAGATAGATAGATAGATAGATAGATAGATAGATAGATAGATAGATAGATAGATAGATAGATAGATAGATAGATAGATAGATAGATAGATAGATAGATAGATAGATAGATAGATAGATAGATAGATAGATAGATAGATAGATAGATAGATAGATAGATAGATAGATAGATAGATAGATAGATAGATAGATAGATAGATAGATAGATAGATAGATAGATCAGCGTGGACGCGCCCCAGCGTTATTCCATGCCTCTCGTAGCACTGGTAGTCTCTAATACTCTTCGAACGCCACTAAAGTAACCAGTGCCACGAGTATCACTTCTTTGCATAAATGGCCGCAGCCAGTGACTTGAACAGAGAATTCCTGTATTTTCAAAGACCCTGTGCTAGTTCGGTTGTCTTTACGCGGTGCTGACGAAGCTTGAAGAATTTCTGGAAAAACGTGATGTGACCGATTTCTACATAGCAAGGCACCTTAGACAGAGGGAAATTGAGAAAGCTATCATGAACGTGGATACAACAATTTTATTATCTTCTGTGAACATTCATACTTTTGTACAAAAAAGGGATGTGTCACAAAAATAAAAGAATAACACACTTCAGTTAGGCCTATTATACAGCAGGAGAACTGGAAACATTCGTTTTTTTATAAAGCAAACATGCAACTTTTTGTATATAGTACACAAATCACGTCAACCAACAATGCCAAAGTGTTCGCACGATTTATGTTGCTGTGCGAGTTGCTTCAGCAAACATGAAAAAAAACTACAAAAAGAGTAAGGTAACGAAACGGCCAGTTCTAAGAAAAATTAGAAACGCTACATGTGTTATTCGTTGGAAACCTTGCAGAAGACCAGTTGCCCACACAACTTTACCTATAAATATGCCCATCTTTTGCAATTTTTGCTCAGTTTTGCAGCTTACAACAAATTCAATGATTCTCGTTCGCACCTAAAGGCCTTAACTCTGTCCCTGATTTAGAACTGACACACGTGGCACTAACGAACAGCAAGCGCATTCATATGACGCAGTCACAATACAAACGTACCTTCAGGCCAACACCTCCTATTCAACAGCATAGAAATTTCAAGCAAACAATCGCCGCTACATTTAAAAAAAAACGTCCAAAAGTAAACAAAACTATTTGAGGAATGCCAGTTACGGTTGTGATTTCGCTGGCAGGAATTTCGCAGATTTTATATGTCATGACAGAGGAACTCTTTCGCTATCTCATCTGCCATTCTCTGCTGCATTCGTTATCGTTGACGTTCGTTAGTGTGAACAAAGCGATAATGAGACACTACTTTGTAGATAGTATTATTAAACACGCCGACATCACGTCTTGTCGAATAAGACAACGCCAACGTCTCTACGAACAATGTTCGGTTTTGAAACCCAGACTTCATGTCCATGCCGGCTACTTATGGGCATTCGGAAGCATAGTGCTGCGGGCGGCACTTTGTGGAGTTTGCGAACGCTGAAAGATAACGCTGACGTGAAAGAGGTACTGTTCTAGTCAAAAGTTTCCAGGCCACGCTTCCATAACAATATATGGGATACTAACTTGGAATTTTTGACTTCCCCTGTACGTGTGCGCTAAATTGTTTTTTTTTTCCTTCTTGCTATTCCTAAAGTAAGCGTTTGTAAGAGTGACTAAATTTTCGAAGCACTTCAAAGACACCAATAGTAACACGGAGGAACGAATGCCACACAAGCAGACACGCACTCTGATCGCTGCTCTGTGTGCTGTTGAAAAATGCCTCATCGGGCAGAAAGTATCCAGCACAAAGGCACGTATCAACCCAGAAATATTGAGGCTATTTTCCACTTATGAATACTTATAGGAAAAAAATCAAGCTGAAATGGTGCTCAGCTCCATTTGCACGATATTTGAATTCACTGTGTGCTGAAGCGAAGGGCCCCGGCATACGTGATGAAAATTTGAACGCAGATGTGGCTTTCTGTCAAATCATCTCTCATTTCAATTGATAACGTACATGTCTTACGCTAAAATAGCCTGGGCACTATGATTGGGGCCTGCAGTGTAACCAAATCTGAAACATAGTGTCAATCTCTATTTCGACTGTTTACATCGGCGAACTTGTCAACGGGCTACAACATTTTGAGTGGGATACAATGGGGCTTTTTTGAAGATAGAAAATACCAGTTAATTTTCCACTGTTATGGTACTCATCAAAAAGCCCACTTAACGTATGTTCAACTTGTTTTTCATAGCATAGTGAACAGAACTTCTCGTTGACCATGAACACCAATAGTAAAATCATTCGAACTGATTACTTGAAACAGGCTCAAATCGTCCTCCTGCACTGGAAAGACGAAATGCTCAAGGTGGGAGCCTACCCTGAAAGAACGGCAGAGTAAACGTTGTACTATCCGCTAGGTTCGAATTTCAGTGCGAGGCCTCCTCGAAATGAAATCCGATCCCAGTAGCCTCGCTTAGTAATCGTTCACGTACAGATATGCCTCGGCCTTCTGGTCTCCCTCTGGCTCGGCCATGGCGTGTTGGACTGGTTGCTCTTGCGAGCCGTACGCACCCGGCAGGAGTGCGCAAATCTTCAGCCTGCCGTCCACGGTGAGGTTCGAGGTGATGCTTTCAACATCGACGCCTTCGGGCAGCGAGATCTCGCGATGGGTCTCCTTGGTGCAGCCGGCACGCTGGCGCTTGCAGTGCACTAGCAGACGGCCATCGATGGCCTTTACTGTAATCTCCTCGGGCTCGTACTCGTGCACGTCTACCTCCATGAGGAGCTTGTTGTGTTCATCCACAGTAGTCTTGACTTCGCGGAAAACCTTCTCGAAGGACGGGAACGTGGGAGCCGGCACAATGTCGCGGAAAAAGTCGTCGAAGTCATCGAAGCCGTATAGTAGGCGCGACCTCATGGGAAACCGGTTGAACATTGTGCTCAGCTCACGGCGTAAATCGTGCTCAGGCCGTGCTGCGGCTCGCTCCAAGACCTGCTGAACATGACGGCGCACTTCGGTCCGGTACGACTCTTGAGGAACGCTCCGTAGTGAGTGGATAGGAATGACGATTTCGCTGCGCGCCATCGGAGACTCAGGCGCTTCTCGTCGGGACCAAGGCGACCTGTCCATTGCGAAGCGGCCCCCACTTGGGGTATTTATGGACGAGTGAAACTCTCTCGCGAAGCTGTGCGTGCTCGCGGGCAACCCCCCGGCGAGATGTGGCGCGCCGCAATGGCGTCCCAGAACCTTCGCTCTACTGAGAAACGAAGGTTGAAGCGGGGACCCTTTCTCAATTTCTTCTCACCTTCCAACAGCTCCGTCACGAAGTCTAACTTAAGAAACGTCTGGAAGCAAGCCGCGGTCTGGCGAATGGCACTTGGCAAGGTCTAGAACAGGACAACAGTGGTGCCCTCTCTTGTTTCTTTGGCTAAATTAAATGGAAAACGTATGCACAGCGTTACGGCGGCTGACGTCACAAGGAGAAATTGTGCGTTCGCAGAACTAATCACCGCTGTCGCGAGGAGCGCCACGAATGGGACCCGCCCGGTTTTGATGTCGGTCCGCCGTGAGCACTGAATGTCAGACGACATTACTCTGTACGGTAGCGCGGAAATGTCATTGCAGCATTTTAAAAATTATCGCTCTTGACTAATCTCGGAACCTGGCACGAAAATTACACAGTCATTCTACTTGCGTTCATGCTTAGCTTTGTAAACTAGTGAGCATTCGCTGAGTGTTGCAACAGGAACCGATTCCCACAGTCGAGAGCAGTGAAATGGTAACGTCTTCTAAGAATGAATAGTCCGATGAATTGTTTAGCACATTCGTGGTGCATCGTGAACTGCTGAACCTTCACAGCAAACGCAATGTTATTAATAATTTTCGACTAGCAATAACTGATTTTTTTCAATTAGTCGATCTAGGTTTACCGTATATGGAGAATTATGTTTTGCACTATGTAAAGTGTAACTGTCCTCTGTTGGGCTGGATAGTGGTTTTTGTATTCATTATATTGGCAGTACGCTTTTGTTTTAGTGATGGCCTTCGAATGTGATCCCTTTTTATATTTGTCTGCTCTGTACTTGCAGTTCTGTTTTTATCATGGAATTCATGTAAAATCATACCTATTGTTACGTTTTAGCCTTTGGTGGTCTCTCCGAAAGCATCTTGTCACAATTATGTCTTGAATAAACGAAATCCAATCAAATATTGATCATGAAAGTATTGAAGTTTTGCAAATGTTGGCATCATTCATTTTTAATGAAACCACACGCACATTACGCAAGCGCACATTAGCCAAACACCCCTGAAAAACTACGCCACTGCTGACATTCTTGTGCTGCAGCTTTTTCACTTGCGGTGCAATAATGAATGCGCAAGAAGAGCTTATTACTACCTCACATCGTGATCCGCTTGTGATGTGAACGATACACGCATAAAGCAAAGAATAGTTTACAACATTCATACTGTTTGAAACGCTGCATATCAGCCTGTGTATTAACACTTGAAGGCTTCATGCTTGCACTTTTTTTCCTGTGATTTATAATCGAGATACAAACGAAGTTTTGGATACTTGTATATACTTTTCGGCTGACCACAAACAAGCTCTCTGAGCACCATACTATCACATGGACCTCACAGAGTACACCTTCTGATGAATTGCTCATTGAAAGCTGGTAACTGTGTGCTCAGTGATTTCATTTGATTACAATAAGAAAAAAAGCTGTTGCACTTAACTTGATCATTCCTGTGCTGTCTTCTTTTGGTAACAAATTTAGCTTTTTGCAGTGTGTACATCGTGTAGCTCGTGAACTTAACTCAAATTATCTTATGCTGACACAAATATCACTAGAATAGCGTACTTTGAAGTAACTTGAGGACAATATGTAAGCTCCTATTACAGCATTCATTCACTCGAAATATGCATTCCATAAAGAAAAAGAAATGCGCTCCTGTAATTTTTTGTATTGCTGTAGAGAATCTGGTGGTTCACACAAACATTACTTTTTCTCGCTGCGAGCGTACCACTTCAAAAGCATTTAATTCCATTATTTTACAAGTCATTGATTGATTTGTGGGGTTTAACGTCCCAAAACCACCATATGATTATGAGAGACGCCGTAGTGGAGGGCTCCGGAAATTTCTATTTTACAAGTCAGTTGCTGGAATCATTACCTTCGAAACTCTTGCGAAAATGCGTACACATATGTAACCTATATGTTTTATCGTGCAAGCCGTGGTAAAACCTAGTAACTTTTGAGTTTCTTACTACGCATCTCACTTGCAAATCAGAGTGTTAGGTCGATGTATCATCCAGCCCAAAGAATTCAAAGAGAGATTTTCTGGGCGAAACCGAATTTGACGTTTTACCATGTCGCTATATTCGTCTTGGCGGCGGCTAGAGTGTCGCTACGTGCCACACGAGGGTCTTCGACATTTCCTTAAGGTCACATGGTGTCTTCTATTTTGGACCTTCGTCAGAGCCGGCTTCACGTCACGCTGACGCTCTGTAGGTGCCTGCCGAGAAGCATGACCGGTCTCAGATTCCAACGTGCCAAAATTAGAGGGGCCGAGGTATTTTGCAGTAGGGGTCTTTCGGAGGGAAGCACTATTTCGCTCGTCCTGAGGATTGACCTAAGTCTAGCGGGGAGCTAGCGTGTGCGGCGTGAGCTAATTAAGCGAACCTCACCTGAATACAACCACCGAATTTATCTGGAAGGCCCCGGACATTCTTGTTGCGTTCACCATTGCCCACAGAGCGAATGGTCATGACGAAAAAAGAGAATTCATAGCTATGAAGATTGAACGCACCTAAAGGACTAAAAGTCAGCCGAGTGGGTGTTCAATATAGGTTATAACAGCAAAATTTGGCCCCTGAAAACATAGACAAATTTAGATGGTATTTAAAAGAACTTATTGTGCACAAATAGCCTGTTTCATTAAATTTCCGGCAATTCCAGAGTTTAGGATTTCGACGTAAATGACCACCATCGGCAAACAGCGCTGGTTAACGTGAAAGTTTATGACTTCTACTCACTTTATAAGATTATATTATACTATTTTGTCACTCTATAAATTGCGCTATCACATTAAATTGGTTTCCGGCTCAGTGCAGATGGTAACCCAATTGCCTGCAACGGAAAAGTAATCTGACAGCGCTGTGTAATTATCAGAATTACTATGAACGCTCGCGTCACATTCTGCCAAAAATATTTTCCTAAGAAGTGTAGCCATCTACACTTTATAGCAGCGTAATTAAGTAAATTAGCGCCATCTACATCCACCACGTAAATCGTGTTCGTCGAACACTGTGGAACTACAAAGATCCCGAATTATTGTCGTTACAACTTCAATAAAGCTTATCTGAGTTCGCCTGGCGAAAAGGCGCATTATTTCTAAAGAAAGGTACACTCTATACCTCATGTTTGGCGCATGACACATGAATAATAGAACCTGAAATATATTTTGACTATTAACGATCATTTTGTGCTGCTGATGACGACTTGTACACGCATGAGAGCCAATGAAAATTTCTTCTCATGGGTAACATAGTGATCGTAGTTTAATGCGTTTCTGTTTATTTCCTCTGAAAAGGGCGTGGTTTACACTATCAGCGTAGTCAGGTCGTCATAAGCATTGTATGTTAGAAAGCAAACGGCAACCAAAAAAAATGAAAATGCTTACGTTTAACAGCCCTACGGTTGACTGAACAAATGAAGTCATTGACGTGGAAGATGGTAGTTGACCCAAAGCTAAACAGTATGACATGAACGTTTCTTTAGGTGGTTTTTTTTTCAGACATCGGATTCGTAAATATTTTGCCTACACTTCAGTTTGAGGGTCTTCTCTTACGAGGCGAGCTCTTGAAGCACAATGAACAAAGCAGCCGTTAGAACAACGAGATTCCCTTCATAGCAACACAGCGCCGTTTGCAATTGACTCACAAGAACACGTTCAGCACTGTAATCAGAGGAACACCAAACAACAATGCTGGATAGCCTTGACATAGGAACATAAACACAGTGTCGATGAGTAAATAAACAACTTCATTTCTCACAGACTTGGCGCGAGTGTACATCGATGTCCAAAACAGACAACGAATAATGGCAGCTACAATAATGAACGCAATATGCCAGAGAACAACAAAAAGAAATGGTGTAGCACAATGGCGACGACGGAAGCACAAACTTCTGTTGCCGCTAATGAGCTTTTACTCTTTACCGTTGAAATACAAAGTCGATCCCGGTTGTTTAGGTCATCTAGAGCGCATGCATATGCAGATACTGGAAAGGTTCACGACAAAAGCAACAATTAGGCACGAATTTTTTTTCGAGCGTCGCTTTTATCTATTTGTGGGCGAAATCTGTCTGTCGGACGTTCTCTGGCCGTGCTCCTTGCAGTTCATCGGTCGACGGCCTTGGCTCCGGCGCCGAAGTTGTCGCGGCTCACGCTGCGCTCAATCTCGCAGCGAACGGGGATGAGGTACTCGATTCCCTGGCTCTTCTCCACAGGTAGTGGGATCTGCACGACGAGCTTGTTTTCGGGCGTCAGCTTGCAGGCGATCTTCTCCACATCGACGCCCTCGGGCAGCACAACGTTCCTCTTGAGCTCGCGCCTGACGGTCGTGTCCCCCTCGGTCTTCTCGTTGAAGGCGCGGATGGTCATGTTGCGGCCAACAGCCTTCAGCGAGATATCGTCTGCCTTGAAAACCCTCGACGTCGAGCTCGACGGAGATCTTGTCCTTGTCGTCACTGGGCAGCACCTTCACCTCCTTGACGATGCTCTGCTGGCGCTCGGGTCTCGGTGTTCCACCACTAGAAGGGAGAAGCTTGTGTTCAGGGAACATATCGTCCAAGTAGCGCATACAGTCCGGGAACTCCTTGGCGAATTCATCCATCTGGCGCCGCACGTCAGCAGCAGTGGAGCCCTCAAACACCCGGTGGACCTTCTTTACTTCAGTGTGGGTCTGGGTCGTGGCGCTCGACATGTTGGCGGTGGCGCTTGACGTAAGTTCTTGCACGGCGACGATATCTACCGCGGGACACGGTCGTCTGGAGTCGACGGCGCGCAGGTCTCGAGCAGTGGCGGTACACTGCACGTTCTGAAGTCGGTCGCGAGGAGATATATGTCTTGGCTCGTTGGCCGTTCCTCTCTTTCCTTTTTTCTTCTTTTCTCTTTCTTGTTTCGCTTCCTCTCGACGACTTGCTCACCCGTCGAGAACTTTAGCAGGCCAGAGTGTGCAGCCAACCCTAAGTGCGCCGTGGTTCAAGTTTTATATATAGCATTACAGGCGCCGAAAGGAGGTGGGAGGGTGTCCCATGGCTGGTCGCTTCCAAAAAGCCGGCACACCCTCGCAACCTTTGCACGCTTTCCTTGCTTTCCTTGTATTTTAACGGCCGAGAACCTTGTCGGTTAGTTCATCTCAGCGCCGGCGGCAGCCATCTTGAACACCGGCAAAGTGACGAACGACAGAATCTCCGCTCACAGCCCCGGACGTAATGGCTGCTGTGGAGCCACTCGCACAGCCACGACGGGAGTGGAAAGCGGGTCGGTCTGTGCACATGAGTCATTTCGAACCATATATCGATGAGAGACGAATGAACACCCCTCGCAAGACATGCTTTTGTTGTCTCGTTGTCAACGCCCTGATTTATGGCACAGCGCCGATTTTTTTTTTCGTCATATCGTCATATCATCGTTTGGGAGGTGGAGCGTGTGACCTAATCTGCCGAAATGCGTTAGCTGGTTTCTCTGCTGTTTACCGCAGCGCTTCAGTTCATGCCACGTTTTCGGAAAGTCAATGAAGGATGACCTCGGGCGCAGGTGTCGCTGTTAATAAAGGGGGAAGATGGACACAAGCGAAAACATGAAAGCTTACGTTCACACAGCTTTAGGGCACACGAATCAGGGGTAAGAAGGGTGTTGCTGTGCCTTTATCGCGTGTGCGCCTATCGCAAGTCAAGAAGTGAAATTCGAATGGGGCTCTTGAGGACTGCAACACTCTATTGGTGCTTGAATTAAATTTATACAAGCCTAAATCTTACCGCATGAGCAACATATCAATATTTTGTGACAAAGTTAACACCACCTTTGTGTTTTTGTTGGTGATTTCTTGCATGGCTTTAAGGGCGATGACTAGACTTTTGGAGTAAGTGATCCTTCCAGGCTAAAAGCGCAGTATTCTCAACTTTCGGCAACATTTTTTCATTGTTAGAAACTATAGAAGGCCTTGAAAAAATGCTGTAGCTCTACCTCTTCTTAGCTCCATTTAGATCGTTTCGTTTCGGATCACTTTTTCTTCTTCAAGGAATAGAGCAGCGCTCCATATATTCATTTCTGTTGTGTTATATTTAAAATATACCTTGTGAGAGAGAATGAAGGACATGATACCATAGGGCAAATCTCCAGAAAAACACACCAATGTCCTAAAAAAGTAGCAAAGTCGGTCTCTTGCTTTTTATATTTCAGTCGTGCCCTTTAACATCATTTCCTTCAATAAGTACCAACATACTCATAAGAAAGTGATCCTAGAATAAAAGCGACAAGAACGCAAATGAAAGAGGTTGAATACACCCATGTTGGTTGTTTTGGTCAAGACTTTTGATGAAGCGCTAGTTTGATAGATCTGGCCTGTTTGATCGATATGTAACTTTGACCTCTAAAAAAACTATGTGATTATGAGAAACGCTGTAGTAGAGGGCTCCGGAAATTTCGACCGCCTAGGGTTCTTTGAAGTGCACCCAAATCGGAGCACACGGGCCTACAGTATTTTCGCCTTCATCAAAAATGCAGCTGCTGCAGCCGGAATTTGATCCCACGACCTGCGGGTCAGCAGCCGAGTTACCTTAGCCACTAGACTACCGTGGCAGAGCTAAGAAATTAGGCTCAGTTTCATTCAAACAGATGCAAGGTTTCCCTCATTTTGTTTACCAAGTGCTTCTTTAACTTCACGTTACATCGAGTAATCACACCATTTTAATTAGGATTGTTCTGAAAGTGAAATATACCTAGGCGTCTTTCAGGTTTCCGCGGATTTTAGCCGGGTTTCGGTTTCTGAATTTGTCTCTGTTGGAAGGAATAATTGCACGAATATTAGATGAGGTGCGGCGTAAGAGTATTTCATAGAAAGAAAACATTTACTTGTTCTATGGCTCATTTCCAGTTTGGTACCGCACGCAGTACTGCTTGCGTGTTGCGGTGACGTTGAAACTTACACAGTTTGAATCTATAAACGAGAATATAAAATAAACTTACTGGCATTTAAATTGGTGGTAATAATGTGCGATGCTCTACAGCAGTGTGAACGTGGTCTTAATGCTGAGGTATTATTTAAAAAAATTTTATTCGGCAGATTCCACGTGGCTTGCGAGTCGATGTTATGCGAAGCACTTAGATAGAAGGTGACTGTGTTTGCAATTTTTTTTATCGAGTGGAACATTACAAGGCGTTGCTAAGGATACTTACAAACTCACGCACTGCCATACGTTACACAGCCGCATATGTATTATGTAGCCCGTTGTTTAGAGTTGCATAACGATGCCAGCAACAACATAGATAATAGCAACATCAAAACAGTTAGCTGATTGATGCGCTGGTGCTCGCGAGGAAGGTAGCCCTGGACACTTCTACATAAATGAACTTCCGGGCATGGTGGCTAACTCCAAGTGACGCAAAACCGACGTGACTGCTGTATCATTACATTTAGGTAAAGCAGCTTTACTTAGAATAACCAGAAAAACATCCCATTCGAAGTTTCCTACACTATTGCAAACAGTCAGCTAACTCCAGTTCACCCTGCTATCATGGCTTAATCATATGTGAAGATCTAAGATGGGAAGCACACGTAAGCAAGTAACCTCATCTGCAATAAAAATGGTTTTTTTTCTAAGAAAGCACCTATATAACTATATTCGACACCGCATGCAGCGAAACCATTTGCCTGTTACGCATTTGCCAGACCAGTGCTTTAGTAAGCAAACGTCGTCTGGTTACCACCTACAAACAACCTAAAAAATTCGAAAACGTGCAGAGGAGAGCAGTCAGGTTTATTTTCAATAACTACCACACATCTGAATCTCACTCCGAATAAATGCAAGAAGCAGGAATACTGACTCCTCGTAACCGCGTTGAACGTGCTTGCCAAAAAATGCTGTTTCAACTTTTTTCGCAATAGGCTTCGTATTGGTAGAACCAAATACATCACCCAGAAACCAGGTCTTTGCGTCATAAGCACCCTAAATTTCTTCAGGAATACCGGTACAGAGCTGAATATTTTAAACTATCTTTTTTTCCTACAAGCTATTAGAGTATGGAACAGTCTGCCTACACATATTACTACTTGTTATAATGAAGTGAACTTTTTGTCACTCTTTGCAAATTACCTATGAAATTCTTAATCATGAACTCTTTCTATAGCCCTAACTGTGCCGTTTCTTTTTGTGTGAAGACATCGTGTTCATCTGTTAAGGACATATTTACACGTAACAAACGTCTTCCAAGTGCAAACTACGTTTATTCTTATCGTTACTTTTCTCTTTCTTTTCCATGGTTCGTTCCTAGTAGGTCCGTATAGGTGCATTTTTCGTAATAACATATGCGTTTGGTAAATGATTTTATGTTGAAGTTGCTCATAGTGGTTACATATTGTTAACTATAAAATGTTCACTCTTGTATATCCCAAGTTTATGCATGCCCTTCCGGCGAAAAATCCTCGTTGAAATTGGCATTATGTCTGAAGGTAAATAAACAAATTAAAATGAAGTACTTATGTAAAATTGGACAATCAGCCCTATAACCACTATTGGCGTTGCACGAGCACTAGAGGGTATTTTTGAAACATAGCTCCGAGACTTGGGATGGCACATTAATAGAATCCTTGATTGCCACGCAAATAGTTGAGGGTCGAGTCTTGCTGGAACCCGGATATTTAGGCCTATTCTTGTCATTCGTCGGGTTGACGCCCCCGATGCCAGTTTTTCCCTTAACGCTCACGGGTTCACATTACCGGTCTCTAGTCTTGCCGTTCCTAAATAGATATAAACTTTCATGCACCTATGGCACATACCTGCATACCTGTGGCCTGCAGGTATGTGCCACACGTCTGGCGGGCAGGGTATGACGACGTACGCGACGGGGTGGGGATATTATTCATGTCATGACCAGTGAGTTATACTCGTCAAACCATGTGCCCTCCCATATTAAATTTATTTACTCCAAGTGAAGAAGTGGATAACAAAAACACACAGACGTAGGCGGCTAGATAGAAGGTATATCCGTAGACAGAGGCTAAAACTCCCTGCAGTACGCATAATAATGCTTCGCATTTACTTCATAGCGCACGTGTACGATCATCATACAAAAAGAGAACACACGACAGCGCCGACTAACCACAACTGATAAGAGGATTTTTCTCACTATATGCAGCAAATCGGCCATTGCATTAACATGTCAAAAATGGATGTATTGATATTTTTACATTTTCGAACTTTGATGTAGTTTAGAGAGCCATCCCTTAGTCAGAAGGAGGTCTTTTTTATCATTTGAAACGATATATACTATTCATTTTCTCAGGCGGCTTTCTCAAGTAACATTGAGGGAGTTAGTTCTTAGGCGTCGAGGTAGGTAGCGTTGAGGCAACCATACATTCCCAAAATAAATCTGGAATCGACGTTACTAGTCTTTGGTAGCTTTTAGCTTTTTAGTGAAAGTCACGTTAGTAACTTGTAATGAACAAGGATTGAACCACAAAAGCAAGGCGTATCTCCTGAATCTACTAGAACACCGGTGCTACGCGGTCGATATTTAGCTAACTTTGAGTATGACCTGTGCAGCACTTTTCAGCAATGTTTTGTTAAAACGTTTTTAGGTTGATTGATATGTGGGGTTTAACGTCCCAAAACCACCATATGATTATGAGAGACGTCGTAGTGGAGGGCTCCGCAGATTTCGACCACCTGGGGTTTTTCGGCGTGCACCCAAATCTTAGCACACGGGCCTACAATATTTCCGCCTCCATCACGAATGCAGCCGCCACAGCCGGGATTTGATCCCGGGACTTGCGGGTCAGCAGCTGAGTACCTTAGTCACTAGACCACCGCGGCGGGACAAAGTTTTCAGGTTCGTAGATGGCTATTGCATTTTCAGTCTATGTTGGAAAATTTAGTAGACGTGCACCGAAGGACATGGACAAGAAGTAGACCGGTCAGCGCTCTCAGTCACGGTAGATGTTTTAATAATGCGGATAA